TATCAGTTTGATAAAAAAAGACCAAATACAAATACAAAAGGTAAAATTATTATGTAAAAACTTACCTAAACTATACTTTCCAGATGAAAACAAAAAAATTACTTATATAATAGAATCAGATGCGAGTGAAAAAAGTTATGGAGGAATATTAAAATACAGTATGATGGCACTACGATAGAACATCATTGCAGGTATTATTCAGGAACGTTTAATAATACAGAAATAAAATGGGAAATAAATAGAAAAGAATTATATTCAGTATATAAGTGTTTATTATCATTTGAACCATTTATTGTATATAACAAATTTATTATAAGAACAGATAATACACAAGTAAAATGGTGGCTAACAAGAAAAATACAAGATTCGGTAACAACAAAAGAAATAAGGAGATTGGTATTAAATATATTAAATTTACATTTACAATAAGTAATAAAAACTGATAAGAATGTTATTGCAGATTACTTATCAAGACAAAGCTACTCAGACTAGAACAAAATACAATGGAAAAGATACTCAAAGCCATAACTACACTTTGTATAAAAGTGGATAGTATGGACAACGAGATACAAAAGCTAAAGACTAATGAAGATAATCTGAAGTCTAAAGCTAGTCAGCAGCATGACTATAAAAATGCGGAGCTAGTCGATCGGAAGACGAAAAAATCAGAGCTAAAAGGAGACGATGGGAAACTCCTTAAAACCCATAAATGTTTGTTTAAATACAGCTGCAGGTACAAGCAAACAAGTTAGCGATAAACAACATAAAAATACTAACTTAAACCAGCTATTCGAAAAACCATTTACCCAAAGGACACCTAGACATATGTCCATAGAACCGCAAACATCTACATATGCAGATAGTTTGCAAAACCAAAATGAGAAAAAGACATATAATTACATCACACGAACCTATATCGAAAATATACACAAAATCCAAACTTATTTAAACCGCAACCCCAAATCAACTACAAAAGAACCAAATCAAGATTATTTAACCCAAAAATTGCAAGGTTATAATAAACTAATTCACAACCAAAAACTAACGCCAACTTAGTAAGGACATGTTATAACTATGGATTACTAAATACTGTATATACATATGACGGAGAAGAACTAAGCGGAATACCGGAACTACATAGAGCATTTATTACATATAAGAGAGTTATTAAGGGAAATTTATTCTACG